AACTCTTTAATTGTCTTCTGGCATGTTTTCACCAATCTTTGAGCAAGAATATTGGCTGGACCAACCTTCTCTACATCAATCTTTGGGACCTGGATGATGGATTGATCCACGACATCATTAAAATGCAAACACGCTTTAAGTTTGCTCATATGGAACATTGGATGAATTTTTGAACTAGTTGGTAAATCCAAAGTGTATACAAGATCCCCCACACGTTGTAAAATTGTCCAAAGTTCACAATACTGTGGAGACAACTTAACATTGCCACCTCCTTTCCGAAACCGTTGTGCATCCGACAACTTAAGGAAAACCTTGTCACCAACTTTGTACTCTTGATGACGATAATACTCATTAGCCAATCTTTTGTCTCACTCTTGAGCTTGCCTCATGTTCAACTTTGCCAACACAAGCTTGTCTTGCATATCCTCCAGAAAATCACAATCATGAGGTACCTAAACCAAAGCCAAATTCAAACTCATAGGAGACCAAGGCTCATAGCCATACATTGCCATAAAGGGAAATATGCCAATAGCTAATTGATAAGCGTTATTATGAGTAAACTAAAGCAAATTCAAGTACTTCTCTCATACTCCCTGTTGAGTCAAGTTTCCCATAAAAGACCTTAGCATATCTTCTAATAGTTGATTCATGCACTCTACCTACCCATCAGATTGTGGATGCTCACCATTACTCATGCTCAGCTTAGTCTTTAGCTTCTCAAAGACCATTTGCCAAAACTTGGACATAAACTTGGGATCCCAATCACTCACAATGTCACCCAGCAAACCATAAAGATTGATTAACTGGTCTACAAACAATTGAGCAAGTTCAGAAGCTTTTATCGTCATCTTCATGGGGAAGAAGTGAGCCATCTTCATCAAACGATCCACAACAACCCAAATAACATCATTTCCTTGAAAGGTTTTGGGCAAACCAATGATAAAGTCCATCGAGATGCTATCTCACTTATTCTTGGGTACACATAAAAGATGATAAAGGCTAGCGAGCTTTTGATAATCAACTTTGACTGCCTGGCAGATCAAACAACCACGTATGTACTTCTCATCATCTAATTTCATCCCAAGCCCTGGATGTCCAGCACTTGGCACATCATGACACTCAACCAAAATCCATTTGATAAGTTTGTCAACACAAGGAATCACTACACATCCCTTTTTCACCAAGATTACATCTCATATCTCAAATGACACAAACTTGTCACCTTTCAAATCTATAAAGGCATCCCTTAACAAAACCTTTGTGCGAATATCAATGATAAAGGTGTTGAAGTCAACAAACTCCTTAAGCTCATCCAAGAAATCACTGAATAGTTTCACGAACGAGATAAACTTTACCATCCTGGATAATGCATCAGCCATCTTATTGTCACCTCCATGCTTGTATTGGATTTTAACAGACATTTCCTGTAGGAACTCTTGCCAACGAGCAAGGTGGCCTTGAAGATCCACATCTGGAGAGACTTGATGATCTGAATCTACATGGAAGTTTGATCCATATAGATAATGTTGTTATTCCTTCACAGTAGCAATCACGATATACAACTCCTTATTGCGAGTAGGTTAATTCTACTGTGTGGCATTAAACTTGTGGCTCATGAATGCGAGAAAAGGCCTAACTTGAAGCAATACGGCCCCAAAAACACTATCACTCACATCATTGCCTATAATTTCCACCACAGTCACTTTATCATTTATTGACCGCTTCAGAACAATCCTTGTTCTAATGTCTAGCCCTGTGGCAATGAAAACAATTGCTTTTCACCTTGTCCTTCTCTTGCTAGTTCAAACAAAGTTTCTTAGCCTCACTGCCATCTTTATGCTTCAAGCCATAACGGAATAATGGCCATTTCTTCCCTGAATATGAAGCATTGGCAAGCTGGTCATCACGTTGACTACTCTATAGACCATATCGTTGACTAGAGTTGACTGACAGTTTGGGTGAAAAGATTTGAGCCTTAGTGATAGCATCAGTCAATGTTGCTGGAAAATCCTTCTTGACCTTCTATTGCACATCCACGGAGCTCAATCTTTTGATGAAACATTGCACCTTTAGCAGCTCATTATAAGTGCCCGTGAGACTAAAGCAAAGATCACGAAACTTATGGGCATACATATTCAAAGACAAAGTCCACTATCGGATCTCTAATAGCTGGTTTACAAGATTAACCTCTTTAAACTTCTTGACAAACGAAGCATGGAAAACCTTCATCAAATTAGTCCAAGAAGTCAACTTTGAATTAGCTTTAATGTAATTCTTTCACCACAAAGAAGCACGGCCCATAAGCTTCATCACAAAAAAATCTATCTTCACCTTATCCTCACAAGGATTGTGAGACTAACAATTTTCCCACAATTCCAACCAAGAATCAACCTTTTGACTATCATAAATATTTGGTGATTTCCATTCCACACCATAATTTTTGGCATGCTTAACATACTAATAGTAATCACAGACATGAGATTGATTCAGCCCTTGAAGGTCTATGTAAAGCAAGAAATTTTTAATGACATTAATGAAATCCTTAACCTCTTTTATGTCTCTCTAAACCTCAAAAATCTTGCATCCTTGCCACACAACAACATCATCAAAAGTCTCTTTTTTATTGTTATAGCCATCATCACTAATGCCATACTCCTCATCAGGATCAATATCTTGTTCACCCGCCATCCCCAAAAGAATATGCTACTCCGATACCAATGAAACGAATAAAAGAGTGAATTGTATGCCAACCTCCAATCCCACAGGCCATGGAATATTCTCAGAATATTCTTGTGGTTGGTAAGTGAGAAGGGTGGGAAATACACAACTGCACTCACTTTAACAGGATCCAAGCCAGAGTATCTATAGTGATGGCAAAGTGATGGAAGCTCACACTGGCAGCAGTACAACTTCACCATGCCATCAAGGACAAGTGGAAACCAATTAGGCTGGAGGAGTGGTAGAAAGCATGGTTACCATGTTTTGGTGGGGGGGAGAAGGAGTTGCACCCCCAATAGTTGATCTTGAGATCCACACGAATCTGGATTTGGTATGGAGGAACAACTGCAGCCGCTTAAATTTGCTTTAGACAAGGGTAGTTCCATTAGGCCCAATTTTTGTACTAATCCCTGGGACATTGAGGTAGTCCACCTAAAAAGGCCCTAATGCGATGGTCCGAGCCCAACACACTCGGCAGTTGCTGGCCAACCTCGCCGACAGGTAGTTGGTAGGGAACTCAAACGAGGACATCTTGGCAAAGGGAGAGGCGTTTGGGATTCCAGTAGTCAGGCCCACGACTTCCATAGGAGACGCAGGAGCCAGAGACGGGATGCTCTTGGGAACTCAGAGAGGGGACCAACATCATGGGATGCGAGTTTGCGGTTGAGGAAGAGGAGACAGTGAAGGCCCAGATTAGCAGCCTCAAGGTGATGGCTGAGGAAAGGGGAGCCCAAGCAGCCCCGAGCAACGGCCAACCACGCAGCCGGAGAAGGGAATCGAAGCCCACAAGACACGAGGCAGCAGCTTGGATCTCGAAAACTTTGACGAGAAGGTGCCCAAGGGAGCAGCGCCAATGCAAGACAAGCACCGGAACACAGAACCGGAGGGCCCCGAGGGAAACGACATGGGGAGTAGTGACTCGAGCGGCTAATCCAGAAGTGGGACACGACGTTCCAGGCCAGGGCGCGTGCAGGGTGAACCTTGCATTTCAGGAGGTGAGTGGGTATAGCCAGTTATGAGCTTGCTTGGAACGAAACAACTCTTTAAAGTTGTATCTTTTTTTCAGAAAAGCATGGTCAAGAAAGCGAGTAATTAATGGACGAGAACTCCCCAGATCATGCTTTTGGAGGTGGAATCAAGAAGAGAAGTACAGATGAAAAATCACAAGAGAGCGATGAAAGAGGGAGGAGAGTCAAAAATGTTATCGACCGTGAACAGGGCCCAGCAATGCCATAGCCAGGCCCCCAACTCCAATCTCAATCTGGATGCCGCTCCCGTTTCACAGCCACACCGTCATCCCCTCGCGATCTCCTTATTGCGAGTGGAGCTTCCCATTTGTAATTCCAATCTCAACCGTTAGTGTATGGTAATATGTATTGCCTAGACACTTGGAGAACAAAGATTGGAGCTCACCAAGTTGGTTAGAGACACAGTCATTAGGATTTATAACCTTAAGGTAAGATTTCGAGGTGAAAAACTACGAGACATGAATAGAGACCTAAAGAACACGAAGAACAACGAACCTGCTCGATTAGCAGGTGCTCTAAAAACCATTCGGCTAGCCAAATGGTTTTCGTGCACTTTTGGCTGGTTTCGGCTGAATGGTTCTCTATGAATATTTCAAGGATATACATGCTGGCCTAACGGCCTTTCATGGCTTGGCATTCATGGACATGCTAGAAGAGCTCCACACTAAGAGTATTTGAATGCGGCCTGCCCACCTTCTATCCTCTACCTTAGATTCCTATGCAGCTTAATGATGTTTATACCCGAGATTCTCGTGTCCAGGTTCCAGAGCCCTGTGCCCTCTCCTGTGGATCATGCTGCGGTTTTGCTCCCAGAAGCTCGAAGCATGTCCTCCTTGCCTCTAACTCAAAGAGCAAGTTCTAGTTCATTCATATATCGTTTTGGTCAGCAGAAGAATATGCCGTAAAAGATTTTGAGGAATTAAGGCACCAAATTTGTTGGCGATACAGGTGTTGATCTTTAACCTCTTGATACCTACAGATATAATATATTAGAGCGTGAGAAAGCTCGGCCTAAATACGTCTTTGGTGTGAGGGTAATTTGGTCCATTTTCTTCATGCTGGTGATATAAAGCCCCCTTGCATGTTGCTAGAAAATCTCCACTGTTCGAGCATGACCAGAGAGAAATTTGAAATAACCATCACTGTTGTGGTGCAAGCTAAAAGCACCAACATTCCCATTCCCAGAAATGCAGCTCCCTTGTTCTTTACTCTCCCGTAGCATGAATTAAATACTAAATGGTGGAATCTTAATAAGCGGCTAAAAGCCCTTCTTGAGCCCTAAACTCCGGGCGATGGCGCTCCTCGCGATCGAGGCGCTCCTCCTGCTCGTGCCTGCGCTCATCCATCTGGCAGCTGCTACCGACGACATTGTTGGCTGTGGTGGATTCGTCGAGGTATGTCGCGCATTTCTCTGTGATCTCCATTCACGATCTACCTACAGGCAAGTCCCGCATTGGCAAGATTGCGCAAAGCGTCAGATCCCAAGCTCGACTATTCGCACATAACCGTGAGCACGCAAGCTTCCTTTGCTTCCAAATTCGTGACAGAGCTTCCAATCCAATGCAGCTTAAGCTTCACACACTAGAAGGACTCGTCAAAGATCAGACTCAGTGTGCTCCAAATGGCTACTACTTCCTTCCAATCTACGAGAAGGTACATCCACACCAGAAGGAAAAAAGGATTGACCAGCGTTCTTTCGCAGGGCTCGTACCTTCTTAAGGTTCAAGGCCCTACTGGATGGTCATTTACTCCCTCACAGGTTTTCTCTCCCGTTTTTTTTTTTTTTTTTTTCTTTTCTTCATAACTCAGGATCGCGTTTTTGTGTTCAGGTGCCAGTTCTTGTTGATCAGCATGGTTGCAACGGAAATGCGGACATAAATTTCCACTATACTGGGTAGCTATACTTCACAAATCATATTCTTCTTAAACTCTGTTTTCTAGCTTCACGCTTGCTGGTAAAGTTGTGGGAGCTGGGGGTCCAAGCTGCAAGGAAAATGGGGCTGGTCCTGCTGGAGTAACAGTGTCTGTGATTGGACCTGGTGATTCTCCCAGCAATCACTCGGTGACGACAGGAATCGGTGGTGCCTACGAGTTTAACAACCTTTTGATAGGTATGATCCAACCTCTGTTTCCGTTTCAAAAACGTTTTTGTGTTACAGGCACTTACAGACTAGAAGCACACCATCCCCGTCTTGATATCAACGTGATTGGATCAAACGAAGTAAGCTCATTTCGATCAGCTGTCATGCGTTATTGTTTTTCTTAAACTTCGTCAGGTTCAACTCGGATGGGGCATGGGAGAGGTGGACAATATTTTTATGATCCCTGGCTACGACGTTGAAGGTCGTGTGATGTCTAAGGTACATGATAATGTCTTGGTCACTGTTCGTTCTGCTCATCTCGTCCTGGCAGGGAATTCCGGTTTTGGGTGTGCAAGTTTTCTTGCACTCCAGTGACGTTAAGGATATGGAATGTCCTCAAGGGCCTGGTAGATCTCCGTTGTCTGAGCAAGCGCTTTGCCATGCTACATCCGACGTCGAAGGGAGATTCAAGTTTGCGCACGTTCCTTGTGGTATGCCAAGCTTGCACGTTTGACAGGTTAATTCTAGAAAACATGGAACAGGCTCGTACAATCTTGTGCCATTCTACAAGGGAGAAAACACAATCTTTGGTGTTTCTCCTGCTGCTCTTGATATATCAGTCGCTCATCAGTCAATTTTGGTTGAAGAAGGTTTTCAGGTACTAGACAGAGCAACCAGAATTTCTCACCTCGCTGAAACTTACAGGTTACGGGATTTTCTGTTGGCGGACGAGTTATTGACAGCAATGGGCATGGCATCGCAAAAGTCAAAATATATATTGACAGCGTGGAGCGGGCTATTACTGATGCAAATGGTTTCTACAAGCTTGATCAAGTATGATTGAATAATCTTTGAAGTCTTATGACTTCTCTTGTCATCCAAACAGGTAACTTCAACTAGGTACAACATCACAGCCGCAAAAGAGCACTACCAGTTTACGTCACTGAAGGATTTTATGGTACACATTTGAGTTCTCATAATTCGGAAGACAACTGATTGTCTTTTCTTCTTTTGACGGGCAGGTTTTACCCAACATGGCGGCGATTCCCAGTATTCAGGCATCACAGTATCAACTTTGCGGCTCAGTTCGTGTTGCTGGCCAATACGGAAGAGTGAGATTAGTTTGATTCTTACTTTTTTATCTTGACGGTGGTATTTGCAGCGGCAAGTCGCTCTGACTCATGGACCCTCTGACGTGAAGCCTCAGACCAAGCGTGTTGATGAAGATGGAAACTTCTGCTTTGAGGTTCGGGTTGTCCAGCCTGGATGGCTAACTATTTTGTTCTCCACAGGTCCCGCCTGGTGAATATCGTCTTTCGCCCATTGCTACCGCTGCTGAGCAGAAAACAGGACTATTATTTTCTCCACAGCACTTGGATGTTGTCGTTTCTGCGCCAGTATTTGATATTGTCTTCTTACAGGTATAGGCTTTCCTTTGTATCGCAGAAACTCTAAAGGCAATGTTTAGGCTCAAGTCAGTATCTCTGGACACGTGAAGTGCAAATCCCAATGCAGCCCTGGGATATCCATTGTGCTCGTCGATACTCAGGGAGGCGACAAAATAGTATTTCAACTGACTGATACCCAGAACCATTTCAAATTTGAGAATGTTCTTCCGGGACAATATAAGCTCGAAGTAAGTAATGCCGGTTTAACATGGTTTGAAGCATTCGTAATTTTCTTTTCCAGGTGACCAAAGAAGGGGGACTTGGAGACGATGAATGGTGCTGGGAACAAAAGGTAGTCAGTGTGGATGTCACTTCTAGCGATATCGAAGACATCGTACTTGTTCAAAAAGGATACTGGCTTCGCATCAAGGCTACTCATCCAACCAAAGCGTTTATTGTTCACGACAACAAAGACCCGGTTCCCTTGGAAATCACGGTCGGTGCCTTTTTTATTGTCTTTGTGATCATCTTCTTGTTTCTTGCAGAGCGGGTGGCAGAAAGTATGCGTAGAAAGTCCTGGAATACACGAATTGCACTTTCTCTGGGCTTGTGTTTCTTTTGGTGCTCCCATTTTCTCATTTGACACATCCAATCCAAGGGTATGTCGCGCAGTTGGGAGTGTCTAAGGCTTTGAGTTTCATCTCTGTCTTGCAGCGTATCAATTTGGTTGCCGAGAAATATCTTTTGAGCGGACACATTGACGTATACTCTCCCTTATGTCCTGGAGCAAACAAACTGGAACAGAAGTTGCTGGTCGAGGTTTGGAACGCTAAAGACGGGAAGCCTATTGCCAATATCCACGCTCACCTTTTCTCTGAAGCCAACGAAACAAGTCCCATTGCAGTCTATGAGTATGTCTATTGGGCCCGTCTCGGGGATGCTCTTAGTTTCGTCCCACGATATGCCAGGTATGCGTCTTCCAAACTTCGAATGCTAATATTCCTGCGTATGAAACAGAGACCAAAATCAATCGGAGCAAATTCTTCTATTCTATCCTCGAGAGCAAAACGTAAGCCACGTTTTATTTTCAGTTGTGTTGATCGTAAGCTTTTAATTTGTATAATCAGGCCACTGTGGCTGTGGATGGCTGTCAACCGCAAGTACCTAGTTTTGCTGGACGACCGGCTGTGTACGTAACCGGGAGCATTGTTCCTGCACTGGAGGCAGTGAACATTGTGATAACTGCAGAAAAAGAAAGCAAAATCGGCCGTTTAAAAGCAGGAGAAGTGGCTATGAAAGTACTAACAGGAGACGATGGCGTTTTCGCAGCTGGTCCTCTTTATGACGACACCCAGTACATGGTTCATGCGGACAAGGTTCGTCCTGGATTATTTCAGAGCCTGTGATTATTGATATGTGTCTCTCTCAGCAAGGATACCACTTCAAGCCCTTTGGAAAGAACTCTTTTCAATGCCAGAAGCTTGCTCAGATCCTCGTAAACATCATTGCTGGGGACGGCGCTGAGGAGATTCTTCCGTCCGTTCTTCTTTCGCTGAGCGGAGACGATGGATACAGGAAGAACGCTGTCGCGCCGCCGGGAGGCAAGTTTGCTTTCGACGGCATGTTTCCTGGCAGTTTTTACCTGCGACCTCTGCTTAAGGTACTCGTCCTTCTGGTGCTATCTCGTGAATGAATCCTACATCTTTACAGGAGTATAGTTTTAGTCCGCCTGCTCAAGCCTTGGAACTCTTGTCTGGTGCAACTTTAGAGACAACCTTTATTGCCCGGAGAACTGCTTACAGGTTAATTGATGTCGAACTTTTCATGTGAACTCCTTCGGTGACGATTTTGTTTCTACTCTAGCATTTATGGAAGAGTCTCCTCCCTAACTGGGAAACCAGAAGAAGGCGTCACTGTGGAGGCACGTTCGGTCTCTGGTCTTTATTATGAAGAAACCGCAACCGATGCTGATGGAAAATACCGACTAAGAGGACTTGTGCCCAATACAACGTATAACGTCAAGGTGGTCGTGAAAGAGGAAGTAGACGGTCCTCCCAGACTTGAACGTGCGTCTCCAAGCGTTTATCCAGTAGAGGTACGAAAACCTTTTCGTGAGATTCTTCCAAAAGTAAGCTCCATTGTCTACTCCTTAGATCTCCACCAAGGACACCAGCTCAATCAACTTCGTGGCTTTTGAGCACAGCTTGGCGACTGTGCTCTCTGGCCTCGTCGAGGGAAGTGATCTTGAGAAATGGCAACCGCACATATCGGTGGAGGTGGCCAGCATCTCAGAACCAGCGAAGATTGAAAGGGAGGTACCTTTGCCGCTTTCCAGCTTCTTTGAGATTCAAGGTCTTCCGAGGGGAAAGTACAGGTTGCGGCTTGTTTCCAAGATGGTCGTGCAGACGCACAAGTTTCACTCGGATGTTCTCGAGGTTGATTTTGCCAAGCGCAACGATATATTCTTAAACTCCGTCAAGTTTTATGCGGAGGAATACCATCACAAGCAGGTGAGACGGGAAACTAAACATTTTCGTCTCTCTCGTGACAAGTGTGATTGCGGTCCAGGATTTAAATGCTCCTCCAGTACTTCCCGTGCTCATTGGCGTCTGTGTGATTGGTCTCTTCACTGCAATGCCAAGGTAAGCGAAGCCGATCAAACACATTGTTCCAGTGATTTCCATTCGTGTTTCTACAGCCTGAAAGATGGATACCAACGACTTCTCGCCAAAGACTTGCGACGAACAAGCCAAAGAAAAAGAAACTAAAACGCTAACTGGAATTTTTAAAAACAGAATATGCTCGGAGGTATTCTTAAAAAAGGTGGCAGGTCTAGAGAAATCCTTTTGTGTGCTAGATTGCCTTTGATGACGCAGAGAGAAGAAGCGCCTGTGTGGGTGCAAGATGACATTGTGGAGCTGGTTCTCAGCTTTGTGGAGCTGGCCACACTGCGTCGGTGCTCTGCCGTTTGCAAGTCATGGAAGTCCATCATCAGCAATCCATCCTTTCGCCGCCGTTGGTGCCAAAACGGTGGCGACCAAGAATCATTGTGGGTTATGAATACCTCTGTCACCAACAGCGACCACTTTTTCGCCTGGGATCCATCACGTCCGAACCACAGTGTGGAGTTTGCATTGCCTCCACTGACCGAAGAAGTCGTTGCGTCCGCAGGCGGCCTGATATGCATCGTGAGCGATCCCCCCGAGCAACATCTGGGTGTGCTTAACCTGGTGGTGGGCAACCCAGTGACCCAAGAGTGGAGCGAACTACCACCGCTCCATAGAGAGGAAATTGTTTTTGCGGAGGACGACTTTGCCATGTTTGTCGATAAACATTGTTTCAAAGTTGGCGTGCACTTCACCACCTACGGCTCGGGCCACTGGTGCTGCATCTACGACTCGACAACACGCGCCTGGTCTTCTCTTTCCAACCTCCCGTTCTCGCCAGCCTACCTCAGGGGGAGGGAGCTGCGGCGTCAGTTTGAACCTCGGGCTGTATTCCCAGACATGGACGACAATTTCTACGACCTCAGTATCCTGGGCTTGTATGACTTTCACCGCACCAAGTGGATCACAGGGGAAGTCGTGCGCAGCCTGAGGATTACAACGGGCCTGGAAGACAGTGGTGGAGAGATCCTGCGCTGCGTTTTGCCGCGCCCCCGTTCGTGCGTGACAAGGCTGTGGGAATACAATGGCCAGCACTACTTTGCAAGCGCCTGGGTCTATGCGGGGGGCCACCACGAACTACGGTGCTGTGGAGCTGATGGCTATGGCATATGGAAGGTTGATGACAACGGTGGCTTGGTTACAGTCTCGGCAGTGCACTGTAAAGCCCTGCTCAATCAAGTGTATCCTGGACAGTCTCGAAATTTTTCTCATTGTTATATCCATGCAGAGGACAATCTCGTCATCTTTTCGGAAGGGAAAGTGTTTGCTTACGACCTGGACACAGAGCTTTGGGGTGGAGTGGGCGGGCGCACATATGAATCAGGCAAGGGACTGCTTTATCGCCCATCGCTCACGACACTCGTGGAACAATCTTTTATTCCACATGTCATCCCAAGAGATACTGAAATTCGCCCTGAGAGAACATGGTTCTATAGAATTTTCGGGTTTTTGGCATGCTGTGTTGGTAGTGGCGCCAAGTACCAGCGAAAATGACGTGGTCAGAGATCAGGTTCAGGTGGAGCCAGATCCTTATAGACAAATGCTAGAGCAGTGCAATAAGGAGAAGACGGCTTCTCCTGATCAAGCGAAGATCTTCGTCGTGTGATGTCTAAGGTACATGTTGTTCGTTTTGCTGAGCTCGTACTGGCAGGGAATTCTAAGTTTTCTTGCACTCCGGTGACGTTAAGGATATATCTGACGTCGAAGGGAGATTCAAGTTTGCTCTGATGCTAAGCTTGCACGTTTGGCAGCTTAATCCTGGAAAATTTTGAACGGAGAAAACATATTTTCTGGAATGAACATTTACCATTTTGTAGGCGTAATACACATTTACCTATAACACATAAAAGGGAAATTGCAAAATCCTTTTTAAGGTCAATGCCTTTGATGACGCAGATGGAAGAAGCGCCTTTGTGGATGCAAGACGACATTGTGGAGCTCGTTCTCAGCTTTGTGGAACTGACCACACTGCGTCGGTGCTCCGCAGTCTGCAAGTCATGGAAATCCATCATCAACAATCCATCCTTTCGCCACAAGTGGTGTCAAAACAGTGGCGAGCAAGAATCATTGTGGGTTAAGTACCTCTGTCAGCGACGACGAACACTTTTTCGCCTGGGATCCATCACGGTCTAACCACAGTGTGGAGTTTGCGTTGCCTCCACTGACCGAGAAAGTCGTTGCTTCCGCAGGTGGCCTGGTATGCATCGTCATGGATCATTTCTTCGTCCATCTGCATGTGTTTACCCTGGTGGTGGGCAATCCAGTGACCCAAGAGTGGAGCGAACTACCAACGCTCCATATTGAGGAGATTTCTTTTGCGGAGGACTTTGCCATGTTTGTTGACAAAGATGACTTCAAAGTCGGCGCGCACTTCATCAGCTACGACTCAGGCCACTGGTGCTACATCTACGACTCGGCAACACACGTCTGGTCTTCTCTCCCCAACCTCCCGTTCTCACAGAGGGAGGAGCGTCACTGGTTTGATGATCGGTCTGTATTCCCAGACTTCTACGACCTTAGTATCCTGGGATTGTATGACTTTCGCCGCACCAAGTGGATCACAGGGGAAGTCGTGCGCAGCCTGAGGATTACAACGGGCCTGGAAGGGGTTGAACAAAGTGGAGAGTTTCTGCGCTGCGTATTGCCACATCCCGGTTGGTGCACGACAATGCTGTGGGAGTACAATGGCCAGCGCTACTTTGCAAGCGCCTGGATTTATGTGCATGAGGGAGACTACTACAAGGTAGGGTACTGCAGAGCTGATGGCTATGGTGTGTGGAAGGTTGATGACAATGGCGGTTTGGTTATAGTCTCAGCAGTGCTCTGTAAAGCCCTGCTCGATCAAGTGTATCCTGGGCAGTCTCGAAATTTTTGTCGTTGTTATATTCATGCAGAGGACAATCTCGTCATCTTTTCGGAAGGAAAAGTGTTCGTTTACGACCTGGACACAAAGCGTTGGGGTGGAGTGGGCGGGCGCACATATGAATCAGGCAAGGGACTGCTTTATCACCCATCGCTCATGACACTCGTGGAACACTCTTACAATCCACATGTCATCCCACGTGACGATGAAATTCGCCCTGAGAGCAAATATGCCGGAATGTTCTACACAATTTTCGGGTTTTTAGCATGCTGTGTTGGTTGTGGGCGAAAATGACGTGGTCAGAGATCAGATTCAGGGTGGAAGGAGATCCCTACGGAAATGCGGAGAGCAGTGAAGACCTTGCGGGATCAAGTGAAGATCTTCAGGTATAAAATGCCAGCAGAGAAAGCGAGAATGGCGAGGATGGAAGAGGCACCCCAGCCCTAGCACTTAGAGCATCTCTCTGAGAGGATCCCCAATGTTCTCGAGGTTGATTTTGCCAAGCTCAACGATCAGACAAACTATGCAGGATTTAATTTCCCGTGCTAATTGGCATCTGTGTGATCAAACGCATTCTCGTGCAATATTGATGGATCTTTAAAGGAAGTATATACTCGAGAATTTAGGCTACCATGTTTTAAACGAATCTCTATGTCGCGCCTTGCGCCCGTCATCGGGCGTTTGCGTCGTCTGTAGCAGCAGAATCCGAGACGGAAATATCGCCGCATCGCATCACCGCACAAAATTCAATGAGTCATACGAGGAACTGTAGTGTAAGATCTTTTTGGAAGTTTTCTCAAGCCTTGAGCTTGTGTTCTTGACTTGCTCAGTGAGCTCACGGAATGGTTATGGCGGTCCAGACACTCTATCCAGACGCTAAAGTTACAATTGGGCCATGGATCGAGAACGACTTCGATCTCAAAGAACCACTGCCAGACAAAGATTTGAAGAAGATAAAGATGGAGATGGTAAGTTTTTCTTAGGATCGCATCATTACGGAATTGCTTGGCAGACGGAGATCAAACGCAAAAGGAGGAAGCCAGGAGACGTGATCACCGTCGACTTGGCCTGTTCTCCTTGTAAAGATCCAAATGCCCGCTGGTCTTCCACAGCTCAGCCTTGGGAACGTAAGGTGTCTAGAGTAGCTCGTATCCTCGTCTTAGGTGAACTTTCTTCCAGTAGTCTTCGATAACTAGCTCCTTTAGACGAGACCGCCCCAGCGTCCAAAGTTGATGAGATGAATAAATATCATGCAAGAAAAACCTCCATCTGGATTGAGAAAAGCTCAAGGTCTTTATCATCTGCAGTCGATGAACTGATCCGTTCCACATCCAAATGTACAAGGACAGAGTGAGGATCAATCGACTTCGTGGTTTTTCCTCGAGGGAAGTGGTCTTGAGAAATGGCAACCATACATAGCCGTGGAGGCGGCCAACCAGAAGGGAGGTACCTTTGCCGCTTTCCAGTTACTTTTTGAATCTCACCCGGATGTTCTTGAGATTGATTTTGTCAAGCGCAGCGATGCATTCCGTCAAGTTTTATGCAGAGGACAGACGAGAAACTAAAATCTTTGTTCGTCTCGCGTACAAAATAGCTCCTCCAGTGCTAACTAGGGTCCTGTGGCCATTGGCGCCCGTGTGATTCGCTTTCCTTGCAATGCCAAGGAAAGCTAAATTCGCGACTTGAGTAGTATATTCTGTTTTTAAAAGAGATCATATACTCGGCATAATTTTAAAATAACTAGGGCAAGGGTTTTGGGAGGAGCATGAAGGTGTTGCATTTGATGAGGCACGCTCAGGCCTATCATAACGTGGATGGAGATGTCAGCCTCCATCGCCTCTTCTTCCGCGGCGAATGGCGTCGCCTAACACCCGGCCTTCTTCTCCGCGTGCTGCGACCTTTGTTTATCACATGGTTTGTAACATCTTTCCTTTGCAGCACAAAATCCTCCAAGAAATCCTTCGACGACGATGATCGGCTCTTCGATGCCGTCCTCACTCCTGCTGGATGGGAACAGGTACTTCCTTGAGCTTTTCTTCTTTGCGCTGTGTTGTGGTTTTTGGATCTTCTTCTGCTAATTACCTTTGACAAAAAAATCAGGTGGCTACACTCCGCAAGATCGTCCGAGAAGCTGGCCTTGATCGCCGTATCCAGCTCGTGACAGTTTCACCCATGACGAGGTGAACTATTCTAGTTCTTCAAGTCTTTAGATGCTTTCGTTTTCGTTAGGACGTTGCAAACAGCTACAGGAGTTTTCCGTGGTGCCGACTATGGAAGTGATTCCAGCCTGCCTTTGGTTGCTGTGGAGCTATGCCGAGAGCGCATTGTAAGTCGTTGTTCTATTGTTTTGCAACAAGCTGATCATGCATGATGCGTTTAGAGCGCACGAACTTCTGACAGGAGACGGTCCATCAGCAGCTACAAGGCACACTTTCCATCCGTCGACTTCTCACAGGTTTGTTGTTCCTGTCCCGAGACCTCTAATTCGAAACTGATGCGAAACCATTTGTAGATCGAAGAAGAAAGTGACGTGCTGTGGAATGCCGAGACAGCCGAATCCCTGGCAGCGATGCAGCAGCGGATCAGACAGTTCCTGCAGTGGTATGTGCCTCACAGCTGATCATACCATCCTTCTTACATTGTCTCTCCATCAGGCTGTGGGAGCGTAAAGAGGAGGAGATCGCGGTGGTTTCTCATAGCAGTTTTATGCGGAACATGCTCAAGCGCTCCAACCTTGTGTATGTAGCTCTTTGTTGGTCATGCTACAATATCTGTGTTTTCAATCTTTTCTTAGGCTTCCCAACGCTCAGCTCAAGACTGTCCTACTCACTCGATCGGCGGAACTGGATTTTGAGCTTGTGGACGCTGGAACAAGTAAGCTGTAAAAGCTTTAGGACTAAGATCAACTACCTAGAAGCACATGGGAAGTACTTTGCAAATGCTTCGAGCATTCTCTTTCGGTACTGCTTGGGATGAAGTGCGCTGCGAGGCTTCCCATCCAGAGTCTTCAACAGGGCGACGAAGGCGTGCTTGACAGGCGTGAAATAGCGCAAGTAGTCAATGATCCCCACGACAAGCTCGTTCCTCCCCGGGACATGGTAAACCATAAGCGAGTAATCGAAAACTTCAGCCTCCTGGAACAAGAAAAAAAGCTTTGAGATTTCGGGTTTAGCTGCGTTTACCTGAAGGAAGAACGTGTCACGCGCAAGTATTTCGAAAAACGTCTCGTGATCTTTAGCCTGGAGTGTCAATGGGCCTTGCAACGTCCCATCTGAGATGCCACCGGCTCGCTCTTGCAGTCCCTTGAGATCATACTGACGGTAGAGTGTTGCAGTGCTAGACAATGCCTCCATCACTAGAAGGATGTGCTCCGCTCCTCCCAGCATTCGCACCTGTAAAGAGAAACAGGTTTGGAAGCGGTAAAACTACTCATACGTAAAACTACTCGTAAAGTACCTTCAACACAGCTATGGCGAGCACAAGCATAGTGCGCAGCCTCTCCTCACAAAGAATATCAACATACTCAAAGTACCTGTCGCTTATCCGCTCGAAGCTGGCTAGGAGCTCTGCATCTACCTCTTTGATTACGAAATCTCCATCAATTTGTGTTCTACTCCACAGCGCAGGGCTTTTTCTCGAAGGCATGGAGCAGTGCCGCACAGTAGCGAGGGAGTTGGCGAATTCCGGATCTTGAGGGAAGCTGCAGCGCGTCCGGAGGTTGTGGAAGTCATCGGCACACAGGATCTCCACCTCCACGTCCCTGGGATTTGCCTTTCTTTGAGAGAAGACGATGTCTTTGCCACGCTTGACGATCTTATACTTCGTGGGATTGGCATTGTTGCAGTGCTCGACCGCCAAAGCGACCCAGGGAGCCCACGCTGGCTGCGACTTGTCCATGAGCAGCGGCGATGCCCTGCGTATACCAGAATTGCGGATGTCGGCCGGAAGGAGAACGTGGAGACCATCGGAAACACTGGAAAATCGATAGAAAGTGGAGATTACGTGAGCGGCAAAAGATTGATGGTTGAAAGAAAACTCCTCCTCGCCTCTCCACAGGCCCGGATCCTGGATTTCCGTCAGAAGAAGGTCGGATGCACTGCGCAATCGATAGAAACTTGAGATTAGGATGAAAAATCGATGGAGTGAGCAGCGACGCACCTCTCCATGCCTGGATCGCGGAATTGGCTGGACGAAGAACGCCAGAAGAACGTTGGATGCTGCAAAATCTAGGGGAAGTGGAGAATATGAAGATAAATTGATGAAATGAGCGCCAAGAGATTGATATTTCGGAAAGAAACTCCAATCTCACCTCTCCTGGCCTGGATCGCTCTCGAAAGCCTCTGGAAACCCTCGTATGGACAAGCAAAATGCCCAAGGAGGTTTTAAAGGAAGGGTATATACCTAGGCTTGGAATATTTTTCAACGGTGTTGTCCAAGAACCCTAAAAACAGAGGGCGGGGATGGCGTCGGCTGCGAATCATCTCGTGTGGTGTGCCGCATTTCACGGCGCAGTCCGGCGAGCATCTTGCCTCACCACTTGCAGGTAAATCTTTGCGGGAGCTCAGTCGCCCATATTTGCTCGTGAATCCGTAGGTTTCTCGGCGTCTCTGAGACTTTGCCTGGCGCTCGTCATCGGGCCTTTGCATCGTCTGTAGCGGCAGAATCCGAGACGGAAATATCGCCGCCATCGCCATCACCGCACAAAATTCCTCTCCCAACCAATGAGTCATCCGAGGAGTTGCTCCGGATGCGCCATACGGTAGTGTCACATCTTTTCGGGACATTTCTCAAGTCTTGAGCTCGTCTTGCTTGTTTAAATCTTCGCAGTGTGCTCACGTGATGGCTATGGCGGTCCAGACACTCTGTTAGCTTTATGCTTTTTAAGGTTTAGGGAGGTAACATTTCGACTTAAACTATCCAGACGCTAAAGTTACAATTGGGCCGTGGATTGAGAAAGGATTTTACTACGACTTCGACCTCAAAGAACCACTGTCGGACAAGGATTTGAAGAAGATAAAGAAGGAAATGGTAAGTGTTTGCTCAAGAATGTAAACCACTGAAACTGGTCTTTAGGATCGCATCATTAATTTACCTCTGAGACGAGAAGAAGTATCGAGAGAAGAAGCCAAGGATCGAATTATGTCTATCAACGAAAAGTACAAGCTGGAAATACTAGAGGATATCAAAACAGAACCCATTAAAATATACCACATTGTTGAGGAACATACTTTTCTTGCTCCTTCCCTCACTTCCTTCGAAATTTTTCAGGCAATGACTGGTGGGATCTTTGTGCTGATCCACACGTTGAAAGTACCGGCCAGCTTAACAGGAAAGCCATTGAGCTCGAGTCCGTCGCTGGAGCTTACTGGAGAGGTGATGTCAAGAGACAGATGCTTCAGCGGATTTATGGAACTGCTTGGCAGACGGAAGAGCAGCTCAAAGCGTTTTTGTGCTCAGGTGCCAGTTCTTGTTGATCAGCATGGTTGCAACGGAAATGCGGACATAAATTTCCACCATACTTGGTAGCTATACTTCACAAATCATATTCTTCTTAAACTCTGTTTTCTAGCTTCACGCTTGGTGCCTACGAGTTTAACAACCTTTTGATAGGTATGATCTAGTCTCTGTTTCCGTTTCAAAAACGTTTTTGTGTTACAGGCACTTACATAATAGAAGCACACCATCCCCGTCTTGATATCAACGTGATTGGATCAAATGAAGTAAGCTCATTTCGATCAGCTGTCATGCGTTATTGTTTTCCTTCAACTTCGTCAGGTTCAACTAGGATGGGGCATGGGAGAGGTGGACAATATTTTTATGATCCCTGGCTACGACGTTGAAGGTCGTGTGATGTCTAAGGTACATGATAATGTCTTGGTCACCGTTCGTTCTGCTGATCTCGTCCTGGCAGGGAATTCTGGTATTGGGTGTGCAAGTTTTCTTGCGCTCCAGTGACGTTAAGGATATGGAATGTCCTCAAGGGCCTGGTAGATCTCCATTGTCTGAGCAAGCGCTTTGCCATGCTACATCCGACGTCGAAGGGAGAAATTTCTCACCTTGCTGGATTTTCTGTTGGCGGACGAGTTATTGACAGCAATGGGCATGGCATCGCAAAAGTCAAAATATATATTGACAGCTAGAGCGGGCTATTACTGATGCAAATGGTTTCTACAAGCTTGATCAAGTATGATTGAATAATCTTTGAAGTCTTATGACTTCTCTTGTCATCCAAACAGGTGACTTCAACTAAGTACAACATCACAGCCGCAAAAGAGCACTACCAGTTTACGTCACTGAAGGATTTTATGGTACGCATTTGAGTTCTCATAATTCGGAAGACAACTGATTGGTTTTTTCTTCTTTTGACGGGCAGGTCTTACCCAACATGGCGTCGATTCCCAGTATTCAGGCATCACAGTATCAACTTTGCGGCTCAGTTCGTGTTGCTGGCCAATACGGAAGAGTGAGATTAGTTTGATTCTTACTTTTTGATCTTGACGGTGGTATTTGCAGCGGCAAGTCGCTCTGACTCATGGACCCTCTGACGTGAAGCCTCAGACCACAAGCGGTCGGTGGTACCTTGGGGTGTCGACCATGGGATTGAACATATGGAGCACTTAAACCAAGTGCAAAGGTTGAGTGGCATGGATACTATTTTCAGGGATAGCAAGCCCCAAGTTTGGAATAGAATTTATGGAGGTTGTGAGTGAGACTCCTCCAAGTGGTCAGAGATATGATTAAATGACTAAAGTAAAATGGAAAAATTAGTCTCTTACAACACTCCCTCATGACAGAGTAAAGTCGTGTCTTCAAGACAAACAACTTTTTTCTCTCTGGCAAGTTATAGTGGGGTGAAATTGTGCCTGTAGAAAAATAAATTTATATATCTTCTAACTAAGTGATAGTTATGAAGATTGCAAATAAGTGAGCATTAGGTGTTCATCTACCTTAATATTAGGTGACTCTTCTAAAGTGATGCGCTTTAGGCAATTTGATAAGATATAAAAGAGCTTTATGGTCAACAAAGACAATTATTTTTATTGCTAAAAGGTAATGCCTAAATTTTTCTAAAGTGTAAATTATGCTAAGTGTTTTTTTAGTAGTTATGTAGTTATGCTTCAGAATTTAAGCATCTGTTAGTATAGTAGATAGGATGATCTTTTTGATCACCTTGTATCTGGGATAATATTACACTTGTAGCAATATCAAAAGTATTCATTTGTAAGTGAAGCTCCTTTGTTTAGTCAGGTTTAATAAATAAAAGTGCATTTTTGAGACATTGTTTAAGCCTTAAAAATATTTCTTGACAATTTTCATTCCATATAAATAGAGTATCTTTTTCTAAAAGATTAGTAAGTGGCTTAGCAATCTTTGCATAAACTTTTATAAATTGTCTATAATAGCCCAACTTTGTTTAGAAAACAACAAAGACTTTTTAAATCATATGGTGAAGATATTGTTTCAATCACTTAAATTTTGTCTTTGTCTATAAGGATGCCTTCCTTGTATACAATATAACCTAGAAGTATGCCTGATTTACAAACAAAGTATATTTCTCCGAATTAAGAGAAATGCTATGTTCTCTGTATTTTTGGAAATATTTTTATAAGCAAATTAAATGTTCCTTTTTGGAGCTAAAGACAATAAAATCATCCATGAAAACTCTTATAAAATTAGTGAGATATTCTTTAAAAGTGTCTATAACAGCTCTTTAAAATATAAAAAGAATATTATATAAGCCAAAATGCATTGTGCAATAGGTATAAATTTCCTATGGGCTTATTAAAGCTATTTTGTGTTGATCTTCAGGTGCTAGATCCACTTGGTTATAGTTAAAGAATCCATCTAAAAATGAATACATTTTATGATTTGCTACTAAATCAAGAATTTTGTTTGTGAAAGGAATAGGGAATATATCTTTTTTTGTTGCATCCTTTAACTTTTTGTAATTCACGTTCGTAATTTGCCATATTTTTTAGGCACAATTACAAGTGGTGAAAGCCATTGAGCATTTTTTATTAGATAAATGAATCCTATGTAAAGAAGTTTATCGATTTCCTCCCTGACTTTATCTTTGTAATTAAAATTCATTTTATAGGGCATTTGCTTTTTAAGCATATTTCTTGAGAATATCTTAATATAATGTGTACAAAGCTCTGGTAGGATACCTTTTAAATTTGTGTAAGACCAGGCAAAAATGTCCTTGTAATCTTTTAGTAAATTTATGGCCTAATTGTGAAATTCACTTTGTATTACTTGAGCAATTGTAACAATATGAGGATTATTATCATCTATTAAATTGATTTTCCCAAGTTGATTGATCACAAAAAACATGTAAAACATAATTTCTCTATTGATCAATTTTATAAGTAGAATCCTCCTTTAAAAAGAAATCTCTTATAGACAAACTGATCTTTAGTTTAGGGGCTTCTTGCATAAGTACTTCTTTGAGTATTGAATAAATATCAACTTCTAAACTTAACTCAGTTTTAGGGAAAGCTTTTAAGAATTGTTGGTCTTGGAAATCGTCTAATCCTTCCTCCCAATCATAAGATTACGTTTTGAGAAGTTAATATTTCTTTTCCAATTATATGGTGGAAGTAATGGGCATAGATCTTTTTTAGTTGTATTGCTCTATACACAAAAAACTGTTTTTTCAGTCTTGGTTTGTACAAATAATTTTTAGCTAAGGTTTGCCTAATAGGGTTTTGTAGGCAGAATTTCATTGTATTATTTTAAGCATAACATACTTTAGGCTAGCCACATTGGTTAAGACATTTCTAATAATTCCAATAAGCTTGTACTTTAGTTATCTATTATTTATACATTAAATGGGGTTGGTTGAATTAGACTTAGGCCTAATTCTTCATAAATACTCTCTTCAAAATATTTATGCTTGAGCCACTATCGATGAGAGTTTCAGATAATAAATTCTTGCCAATCTTTATATTAATTGTAGGAACTTCATCATTACAATCCTTTAGCTTAATTACAATGGCTATAGATAAAATTAAAGTTTCTTCCTTCTTATAAGAGAGCTCTTTGAAAAATGCAACTCTAAGGTAAGAGTGAAAAGTTAGTATAAAGTGAATGTAATTTTGGTATTTAAATGCCTTTCACTACCTTCTTTTCATATTTGCCATCTAGTTTTAATATAAGATTTTCCTTTTGTGCTACTGGTAAATTCATATAAGCCTATAAAGGCGTGAAACTTTCTATGTTAGAATCACCATTCTTTAAATTGATTTGTGGTTGAAAGTCTTGGAGTTGTTAAGTGATTTCTGTGTTGATATTTTTCTTTTGGCACTATTGAGAGTTAGGAATGATTTCTACTTCATCATCACTCCCTTCATTTTAGCTTTCAAATTCAACTGTTCTTCATTAAGTTTTGGTCATAACACAGATGCTAAGTAGCTCTTCTATATTTGACCATTCTACCTTAATATGCCTCGCTGCAAGTTGTGTATCATTAGGGGGTCTATCATTCTTGCTTGATAATTCAACTTGATTAGGATAGCGAGTAAGAGTTTTAACTTGATCATACTCTTTTGGCCTTTCATAATCTTTAGGCATATTGTAGCTTTTAGACTGATTGTATTCTCTAGGCTGATTATAGTCTTTAGGCTTATTTTCCTCATAACTAGGTGGATAATCTAAAAAATTACCTATAGGAGGATAATTCCAATGATCATTTTGCCTTTTAGCGCATGAGTATTCATGTTTGGCACTTTGATTATCATTATAATCATTCTTTCTACAATAACTTTTATCGTCAAGTGGATAGCTTTATTTATATGTTGTTTTATCAACTCTGCTTGTTTGTTAGCCTCTTGTTTGTTTAAACAAGGTTCTACATTCCTTAATTATATGCCTTTTTTTTCACAAATTTAGCACTTGATCAGCTAGAGTTTGCATTCTTCTTTGCTACGGCCTTCATTATTGCATCTTCTATATTAATCCTTATTTGAGATTGGTTTACAATTTGAGACTTCTTAGGTGACTAATTTCTCTATCTATAGGAGTCGTTTTTTTGTCTAACTTCACCATATTTACCATATTATATTATTTTATAAAATCTTATAGGTAGTTATAGTTTTATTTAAGTCATTGAAATTTATATGAGCTCTCTTTATTACATGTTCATGATAAATTTTCTTAAGGCCCTATATATATAGGTATAGGTGTATTTTGTCTGACACTAAATTTTTACAATGCTTATAATGTTTGTTAAATTGAGTTCTATATTCTTCATTGTCTCAGATTTTCTTTTATGAAGATTTTGCAACTCGTTATAGTTTTCTTCTAGGTTTGTTTCCATGGAGAAAGCTTTATAGAAAAACTTTGTCTGCTTATAAAATGTGCCAAGCTTTTTGCCATCATTATTATAATACCAGTCTTTGGCTTTACTTTTAAGCCTATAGGGGAAAAGATTCTTTTCCTACGCTCTACTTAATTAAGCTTAATTGCTTCTATGTATTATTTAATATGCAATTGTGTATGTGATGATGGTGCTTATTGTTGTTCTTGCAATTGCCATTATTTTCATTGCAATTTGACAGAAAATACTCTATTTTGCAATTAGTATAAACAACATAAGTGTTTGGTTCGTAAAGGAACCTGGATCATTATCAAAGGGTAAGGGTTGTATTTAACTCTTCTTCCTTTTGTGGGGAATCACTTTAGTTATTTTGTGTTTTACTATTCTCAGCTAAAGCAGAAGCATTTTTTATATGTCGATGCTGCTAAGGAGGAGTAGCGTATGGATTCATATATTCTTGATAACTATCAAAGTTATACTAGGATTTCTAATTTCCTCGTCATTGAGGTGTACCCAATATGCTTTTAGCTCACTCTCTTTCAAATTTTTCTTTAGTTTGATTGAGCAATGATTCAGTTTATTTTGAAGGGAGGTTAAGATTGTGAATATCACAAGTGAGTGCTTTGTAATTTCATTTTATATCTTGTGAATACTTCTTTTTAGACTGCCTTCCACTCATTAGATTGTGAGGGAAATATTGTATATCTATTACCTTATTTGGTATAAACAGTGACAATTTTATCATAGGGACTATGCCCTCTAAAGCTTTATAAGTAAGATCAATTGTTAGTTTATGCCTATAGATTTCGAGGTCTATTAGTATTGCTACTATGGCAAGCTTAGTTATTATGTTTTGTTTGTGAAGTGAGTAGTACAAGATTTTGGTATGTAATGTATTCCCTTTGTAAATTAGCCTATCAATTACTCTTAAGAGTAAGCATCTAGTTTCCCAATCAATTTCGAAATGGGGATAGCTTTCCTTTAAAAGCTAAATATCTAGAACATTTTTTATATGAAAGTCTCAGAAATGTTTTGAGCAACAAAAGTTGTTTTTCACAATGTATCTATTTTTCTTAGGTGTGGTCCACCTTAAGAGATTTTTACTCCATAAAATTTTGTTGCCTATCAATCCAAATTTAGGATTAATCTAATGTCTATAAGCCCAATTATCAACAAGTGTGGTTTTGCGTATAGATATCCAAGCTTTATTATGAACTGTTAAAGTTCCTACAATAGCTTATTTGCCTAAGATTGCAAAAATTGTAGCAATTATTTAGTAAGCATAA